AACAAAGCTGTAAAATTCATCTAAAAATTTTAAAAAATCCAAAACTTTATTGTGAACTGTGAGTTAGATGAGAGTTTACTTTTCAAATAAGCATTTTTGTATTCAACAACTTAAACAAGTTATCTAAACAGGGAGGGTAAAGGGAGAATGGGTAGGAAAGAGGGAACCGATTACAGGGAACTGTGTGTGACCTCCTCCCTGGGGGACAGACAACCGAAAAGTGGATGAAGGGAGACGTCGGACAGGGCAAGATATGACAAAATACCCATTTATAAACTATCAAGGGCTCATGCGGGAGGGGGGAGCGGGGAGGGAGGGGAAAAATGAGGACCTAATGTCGGGGGTTTAAATGGAGAGAAAATGTTTTGAGAAACGATGTACAAATGCGCTTTACACAATTGATGTGTGTATGGATTGGGATAACAGTTGTATGAGCCCCTAATAAAATGTTAAAAAACAAGTTATCTAATCTCCCAATAGCTTGCCCTACCTTACCCCTACTTCTTCCCCAAAGATGCCAGTCTTAAATCCAATTTGTGGGCTATGAGGGAAAAAAGCTTTCACTTCACATCACGTGAAAATGTATACTAAATAACATATATGACCAACTGTTTTCTTAGCTGATTGAAATGAAAAGCATCCTTAGTGGCTAAAAAAAAATTCTCACATGGTTAAAGATACAAATAAGATCTAATTAATTCAGCCCGAGTTACTGCCATTTCATTTTTGTATAGCACTTAGTGTAGGTGCTCATAATAACAAAAATTTGCATCAATTATGATTAATTCATTGTTTATTCAGACTAGCAAGATGGTACAATCAAATTCTCTCTACAAATTTAGTGTACTTAACCATCTTAAACCAAAAACTGTGCCTTTCCACATTAATTTTAAGCACTACAAAGAATCTCACACACACACACACAAACACAGGCTCTTCCCAATATTTGGACATCACAAAAAAAAAAAAGGAAAGAAAATTCAAGTTATTTGAATTTAAAATCCAACCTAAAATCCAGCAAACATTTCTGTATCAATATTTCAAAACATATTCCTCTTCTCATTTCATTAGTCAGCACAAAAAATAATTTTATTATCGAAGTACAAGAAAAACAATTCTATACTCAATATTAAAAAATAAGTCTCATAAAACACAAGTATGTTTTAGTCTAATGCATGAGAAGGAACTTGTCACTCTGATCACTGAATATTTGAGATGTAAATGTACTCTCCTAGATGAAAGCATTAAACTTAAAAATAACTGAGTACCTAACATCTGCTACAAATAAAATCAAAATAAAAGCTATTACACACTAGGAAAATAGTTTTAAATAACAAACACCATACCAATATTTTTAAGCAGCTGACTGTTTCAAAATTCTATTGGTTTTATACATTTAAAACTCAATATATTAATTGTCCAAGTAGCAACTTAAAGAAAAGAGCTGTGTTAGGATTGTAATAATACACCTTTAAAAATAAAGCCATGGGTGTCTTTATGAGATTGATGCATGAAAATGGGTTAATTCACCTTCAAAACTGAAAAACCAACTTAGAAGGTATAATTTCTCCAATACACCATAGTATTTTCTTTACATAAAGTATGTGTTGAAGGTAGAATTTCAACTTCTCTCCTCACTTCCTCATTTTTAGATAAAAAAAATTCCTAGCTTACTGTGAAATATATGATGAGTCTCTGGCTAGAAGCTATTAAAAAAATAAACATGATAGGAGTTACCAGTCTGGTAGGTTTTAAGGTAAATGGAGAACAAATGCAAAGATTCTAAGCTTAAACTGATTTTTTTTAAAAAGATCCTTTAACTTATACTGACAACAAATGGAGCGTTTGATCAAAATGTAGTCGCTAAAAATAAAATCTGCTCTTCAATTACATTAGTTTTCTACAAATCCACTTAACCAAATAAACAATCCCTCAGCCCAACTCCCAAACTCAGCTACCCTAAGAACGAAGACCATATATGACTAGTTTCCCCAAGGGACCAAAGATTTCAAAATGCTCTGGGAACATAAATTATGCCTACCCTCCTTACAAATGTGCCTCTACAATCCTAACTTAAAACACAGAGCCAATTGAGAGGTACACTGATCAGAAACACATATATATTTATAAATATATATACACACACATAAATATACATGTTATGTGCAAAGTAACCATTGTAAACAAGGTGCAATATACTAAAAAAGGGCAGTTTTCATTTTACAGGAACTAAAACCAAAGCACATCAAAAGAAATAATAAAAAACAAAGGAGCCAAAAACCTAAAACCATGAAGCCAGCAAGTATGTAGAAAGTAAGGAGACTGAAGGTAACTTTACTAGCTCCTTGTAATTTCTAAGGTGATATTTTCTGCAGAAGTCAAATAAGGCCATCTGACCTACCTCACAATGAAAAAAAAAGGGGGGGGGGAGTGTATTCCCTCCTGTGGCTACATAAACTGAATAGACAGATCTCAAACTGTAGCAGTAAGTTTAAAGTATCACAGCTCTCAAACTAGCAGTAAGTTTAAAGTATCACAGATCTTAACCACCTAGCCTATAAAATAAATGCACAATCTTTACAGAATTGTGAAGGATTTATATTTACATGCTCAGTCAAACCTAAAAATAAGGACCCAAATCCTTACCCCTACTACCTACTTTTATTTTCTAAGCAAATTATTTCAAGGCTTCTAAGCAAGACTGTGTACAGCCTAAGTATTCCATGATGAAGCTACCTTATATTCACCATATTAAGTAAACTCTGTTCTAAAATATTTACAATGGGATAGGAGAATCATGAAAAATGTATACTCTAAACCCTTTTAAGTACTACTGTACTGAAAGGCACTCATGCTTCAATTGCTCCATAATAAGAATGGTCATTAAATGCCCTTAATGGTCCTCCCTATCTCACTACTTAGTTCATGCCAAAGAGAAACTCAACTTTACACTATAAAAAAGGAATTTTAATCATTCACAATTTTAGAAATAGTTAAATAACACCATGTAATTTTTTGTCCCATTGCTTAAAATGAACTCAAGACCCTATATGGCATGGCTTTTATGAAAGGTCTATTAAAACAGATTCAATCCATAATAAACAAATGGGCACGTATGGAAGGAGTGGGGTGGGGGGAAGATCTCACGAGCTAAAATCATACTTTGTTACTTACATAATTATGGTAGTATTCGGTCAGACAATGTTAAAAGGCAGCAAGGGATGAAGCTTCACTTTTTCAAATACAGTCAGGAATTGGGAATAAAAATAGGTGCAAACATAATAGAATAGCACCTCTTCACCAGATGAAGTAACAGGTTTAGGCTTGCTTGGACAGGTCCCTACGAATGAATCCCAAACAGTAGAAAAGCCAAATCCACAAAATTGGTCAGAAGTTGGATGAGAAACGTTTCGCTCTAGACTACAATGTCGAATGATATAAAATAGGCCGCACTTACATACTCATACACATTTGAATTTATTCTGGCATACTGACTAAAAGATTCTTGGATTAAACTGAACAAAAACTGTTATTTGTCCTCAAATATAGGTTTATGGGCACCTGTCCCTGCCACTAAAATATCCAAGAATACCTGTTATTTTTTTCAAAAGTGGTGTCATTTAATTTGCCACTCAGGGAGGGGGAAATAATCAAAACAATAAAATTGATCAACTAAAGCACAGCATTGCAATAAGGAGTAAAATCAGCACATTTTTGTAGAGGGTTTGGGAAAGGGGAAAAAAGCCCCATCTTTTCATGTAAACATAATAAGCCTGTAATATGCTGCAGACAAACGCACTGCATGGGGTGTGGAGGACCCGAGCTGATTAGATTACCACAACATCAGCCTGGGGCCGCCATTTTTAGAATCTGTAAAGGACAAAAGAGGGAAATTTCAGTTTTAACTCCCCATCGCAGGTATTACGGAAATACAAGGGAATGTTTCCTAGGCAGGTATGGATGTCTTCAGCCGAGAGTGGAATGCACCTCACTTCATTCTCTCCAAGGTCTCCCAAACTCCCTAGCACCTTACATTACTCAGAGCTCTCCTTCTCAAAAACAGGGGCTAGGAAGGGCCACATGAGGTTTCCTCTGGAGCGAACTCTGGAGGTTGCTCTCGGACTTTGAATTGTACCATTCTGCAGGCTCAGTCCGGCCGGGGCGGCCCTGTGGGGAGCCAGGGCCGGGGGCAGCGAGCACCGGATGGTTTTTTCTGCCCCCTCCCCCATTTCGCACAGTGAACCGTTTGTTTCTCCTCTGTGTCTGCTGCCACCGGGTTGGTGCCAACCCCTTGGTCAAAATAAGCTCCTTCGAAATGTGCCATATTGTGGATCAGACGCCTCCGGTCCAGGAAAGGCCGGCGATAATGCCAGGGGAGGGGGCAGGGAGGAGACCGCTGAAGGCTGGGCACCGGGTGCCCACAACAGAGGCGGGTTGACGCTCTCCCCTCGCCCGGAGAGGACCGGGAGCTGGCCGTCTCCTTCCCCTTCCCACAAAGAGAGCGCCGGCCCCGGGCGTCCTGTCCGCCCCTTCGTGCCCACCAGACAATTACAGCAGCGGCTGACCGCCAGGCAAGAAAGGGGAGAGGACCCTGGGGCCTAGGTGGGTGCCCAGCACCAGAGAACGGCGGCGCGGCCACCACTCCGACAGCAGCCTACTCCCCAGTCAGTCACCAGCCCGCCGCCCCCCTCGCCCGGCGGCCCTAACCTGCTACCGGGAGCAGGGCGCCCCCTCCCTAGCTCCCTCTCTCAGGGGGGTTAACTGCCGGCTCCCCCTTCCCCGACCCGAAATCCCGCCATCATGCCCCCTTTGCTAGGGCCAAGGGGCCAGGTGGGCTCGATTCGATTCAACAAGCAACGTCTGGCTCCAGTGCAAACACCTGAGTGTCAACGTCGACTCCCTCCCCGGAAGGATAAAGATGAGAGCCCCCCTCCCGCCAGACACACAAGTCCCCCCCACCCCGCAAACCCCTTGAACTCCCAGAGACGACAGGCACTGACCTGTGATGGTCACACAGCAGACACCCGAACCCCGTTATTCGCTCGACCCCCAAGGAGTCTCTCCACACCTCCGCGAGCGGGCGACCCCCTGAGAGCAGTCACTGCGGACTCTGGACGCGGCTCCACACACCCCCTCCCCAAACAGCAGCGCACAGCCTCTTCACCAGCAACCGAGGCGTAGGGGAGGGGGCACCCAGTCCGTCAGCAGGAACGCAGAGGCGGCGACGAGGCTGCTCGAAGTGTCTATGCCTCCCCTGCTGCCGCTCCCGAACTCAGGCTCGGTCTCCGGCTCGGCCCCCTGCGCCCGCTC